GCTTATGGGACGCTTTTGAAAATCTCCACTTCACATGCGAACATGAGTTCAGAAACCGACTACTCTTTCTGAATGTAGACGTTCTCCGTAACTCTGATGGATCTATCAGCAGGAAAGTGAACAGAAAGCGTACATAGACTGGGCAATACGCGAGTTTTCACGGTATACTGCCGCTATAGTGCAAGAGTAGTTTGATTCGATCTCTCGCCTTCGAGGCGCGCAGTATTTGTACACCGCGCACCGTGAACGAAGAATTGCAGAGAATCAACACTGTCTTGAAAGAAAATGGCTATCCGGACAAATTTGGCTCGAAACATCGGAAGGAACAAAAACGCAAGCTACCTAAAGGCATTGCTCCTAAAAAAAGACCTGTTCATGCACTTGGCATTTAACGGCGATTCTGCTGCTGATACCTTATCGCGAAGCTTAAAAGGTGCTGTTGAGAAGAGTTATTTGGCGGCCAGGTTGCGAATTGTTTACTACAAAAAGCCGCTGCTCCCAAAACCCTTGAAGGATGAGTTGCCCTCGTTGACCCGTTCAATGCTCGTTTATCGGTACTCGTACTCCTTTGCTGCACGATATGTAGGTCGCACTGCAAGGCGTCTATCTCAGAGGACGCACAAGCACATTCCGGCCTGGTTCTACAAAGGTGAGATGAGATCTTCAAACAGCTTTATCGTCACACCTTGATTTTGGTCACACAACCTCTGGTGGATGACCTCAAGGTCATATACTCACCACCTAAACGTTTCACGCAAGGCTTCCGCAAGCAGCTCTTATCCATTGCTGAGGATATATACATCCGCCATCTAAAGCCCGAACTGTGGATGCAAATGTGGTACATACGTCCGTTACTACTTCCTTGGCCAAGGGACAATGTTACCTAACCATTTAATTGCCATCCGAGCTTCTATTCTGTACATTCTTCCGCTTTGCTTACCATCTGCAGCCTAACCTTGAGCTATCGATTGCGTTTTCGAACAACTCAGCAATCAATTTTCAGCCCGATTTGACGCTAACAAAACTTATCTCTACCATCTAAACGTTTGGGTCCGATGAGAGTTTACTCGAGAAGATTCACTCAAATGGGAATATTTGCTTTACTGAAGATCAGCGTTACCCATGATTCACTAAAGCTAATACAAACTACCGATGCATGCAGTAACACAAAAGTATTATCCTCGTTGTTAGTATTGCCCTCAATGTTGATCAAGTGTCTATTCATCACGTAACTGAATTTATATTCGCTTAGATTCCACTATAACACATAGCATATTCGCTCGACATGTTGTTTCACTCCGCACCACTTCCAAAGTCCACAGTCATTTACAGTCTCCAGACAATTCAGTTTGGTTTGCCTTCTAATCTACTGAATACTGTATTTTGGAGCAAGTAGAAAATAATTCTGTACAACTCCATCGGGTGATAATCAAAAAGCATTTAAAAAAATAAACACGTCCGGTGGTTATCCTGAGATGGTTCAGCAACTCATTCTGTAGCACACAAAATGCTTGTTCACACAGTGAGTCAAAAGTGGGTGATATCCTTGTCAAGTGGCAACCGTTCTCTGAAACGTATGTTAGCGAAGTGTAAATCCAACAAAGATTTGAATTTCTGCACAGATTCGGCCTGGGCGACGTGTTCTGGCAGACTGTTCCAGGCGTGCACAACCCTCCGCTCGAAACACAGGGGGTGTGGGATTTTCTTCAGATCAGGTACCACGAGTTTGTACCTGTGCCCACGTGTGGTGCATGGTACTCGCAAGTGGAGTAACGACCTCAGCATGGGGAAATGACCGAGATGTGAAATACGGTAGGTCATGATAAGATCCACTCGAACACGGCGATACGACAAGGTGTAGAGCCCAAGTTTCATGCACCGGTTTTCATACGATAAGCCTCTCAAGCTGGGGATCAACTTGGTGGCGACGTGTTGTACTCGTTCGATCTTTTGCGCTTCGCCGCGAGTGATCGGACAGTATGCAGGCGAGCCGTACTCTAGCATTGGTCTGACGATGGAAGAAAAGAGGCGAGTGGCGACGTCCTCAGACTAAGTGCAGAAGCTGCGTTTCAGCGCCCAGAGCATGCGCAGTCTGTTTCGATACAGTTTGTTGGTGTTGTCGACGGACTTCAAGTCGCAGCGTGAGAGTACACCTAGGTCTTTCACGGAAGGTGTGGGATGCAGTGGTTGGCCGTCTAGGGTGTACGTTCGTCCGTGAACAGCCTTCCCGAGATTCATGAATAGGGACTTTGCCGGGTTGACCGGTAGGTGGACTTCAGCAGACCATACTGCGAGGCGGTCGAGGTCTTGTTGGAGAATGTCACAGTCATCGAGAGTATTAATTTCTCGCCAAATTTTGAGGTCATCCGCAAACAGTGCACACGGCGACCGTAAAAGCTGGGGCAGCTCGTTGATATGGATGAGAAACAGAGTGGGTCCTAGTACCGTACCTTGAGGTACACCACTGGTCGAGGGATACCAATCGGTTAGATGGCCGTCCACCTGTACCCTCCACTTTCTTCCAACGAGAAATTCATGGATCCATCGATGTAACGATCCTCCGACACCACACAACCTTAATCTGTCTAGAAGCAATTCATGATTAACTTTGTCGAATGCTTTGCTGAAGTCGATGTAGATTACGTCGACGGACTTTCCCCGGTTCATTGCTTGCAACCATTCCTGTCTCGTCACAAGTAAGTTGGTAACACAAGAATATCCCATCCTGAATCCGTGTTGTGCCGGTGTCAGAAGTTCTTTCGATTGCAGCAGATGTATTAGACGCTTTTTTACTATCTTCTCGATCACTTTGGCCAAAACGGGTGTAAGACAAATTGGCCTGTAGTTATCCACCTTACTGGGGTCGCCACCTTTCGGGATCGGCCTCACCACCGAGCGCTTCCAGTCGTTTGGCAATGAGCCCTCAGACAATGATTTGTTGAATAGATCCGTAACAGCAGGCGAGATAATGGCAGCTAGTGATTTGATAATTAGCGGATGAAGCCCGTCAGGCCCTGCAGGCTTGGTACCGTCAAGGTTCGCAAGTAGCAGGCGCACCTCGTCGACATCACAAACCAAACTGTTGAGTTCTACAGGAATGTTACTCGCTGAGATGGGTATGGACGCCGCGTCGTTTGCAAACACGGAATCGAAGTGAGCGGCCAGTGCGGACGCGCGATCGGAACTGGAAGTTAGCAGGTGTCCGTCCGCGTCTTCCAGACATGACACGTCACCTTTTGGCTTCAAACGGCGTTTCACGTAAGCAAAGATCTTCTTTGGGGCCATCCTCGCGTCAGTTGCAAGCTTTTCTTCGAACTTCCGGCGCTTTATCAATTTCACTTTGTTGCAAATATTTCGCTGTCTTTTATATGCTTCGTAATCAGTGGCGGAGCCAGAGAGGCGAAATGCGTCCCACATTTTTCGCCGTAACCGAGCCAGCCTACCATATTCCTTGTCGAACCAGTGTGGTTTGATTGGTCCGACTTTCTGAAATTTCAACGGCACAAACTGAGAACAAAGCGAAGCCAATCCTCCCTTTATTACTATCCAACCGTCCTCCACAGATGTAACATGCGGTAGAGACCAATCCATTTGGCTCGCTGCTCGACTTAATCCATCGAACTCACTTTTCCAGTAGTTGTAAGCTGGTTCCATCGGAGCTACACTCGGCAAGTTCAGTTCCATAGTGGCTATCAGCACGGAATGGTCGCTTTTAGCTAGGGCCTCCTGGATTCGTATGTCATGCAACCGCTGTTCGCAATTCGTCACCATCAAATAAAGGCACGATGGGTTCGAACGCGCCGTCATGCGCGTAGGTTGGTATATGTGTTGCGATGCCCCAGTTTCAAGCAACAAATCAACAAACTTTGATTCGACTTCAGAATACCCGGGAATGAGTTGGATTTCAGGCCATTGGATGTGGGGACAATTGAAGTCACCCATGAGTAGAAAACATGGACGACTCATGTTGTTCCGAAGATGCGGTAGCCAATCTAAAGAGCGGTTCAGAGGGCTACGGTAGAATGCACCTACTGTCAGCTTGCCGCGCCTGAGGTTGATCGAGCACCATACCTGTTCACACAGTCCATCTCCACTTCGGTACACGCTTTCAAGCCTCCCACGCAGGGAAGACCGTATATAACGTAAGACACCACCACGAGGATTTGATATTCTATCGCAGCGAAAGCATAAGTAGCCACTGAGATCGACTTCCTCTGCCATTACCTCAGAAGTTAGCCATGTCTCCGCCAGTCCTACGACGTCTGGTCGCTCAGAGGCAAAGAAGCGACACAGCTCATCCCGTTTGTTCATAAGGCTACAGATGTTTGTGAATGCAGCACGGAGGTCCTGAGAGGCACCGCGAGACGTGCCTGGAGGTTGATCAACCGACTGATACGGGTTCGTGCACCCTTCTTGATCACTCGAAAATTTACGATGTGTAGATCAGTTTCGCCTTCTTCTGTACGGCGTTTAAGCTCAAGGACCGCAGTCTTCAAGCGGTTCCTCTCTTCGGGTTCCAAGTCTCGGCGGATGTGAACCCTGGTGCCTTTAAGCCTGGAGAGACGAGACAGAATGAGTTGTGGCGTGTTGTGGTCAGCACAGGTGATTCTTAAAGGTCGACATGATTGGTTAGTATGCTGACCAAGTCGGACTACTTGTTTAATCGTTACGCTGCCTTCACCCACATCCAGTAGTTTATCAACGAGCCCCTGAAGGAACTCAACATCGTGATCATAACGTTTCTGAGGGTTTTCATCTTTCGACTCTGGTGCATGGAACACCATGTGATTATAACGCCTCAGGGAGATCGGTGACGAACTTGAGGCAGCAGGAGTGGAGGGGCTTGTCGTTTTGGACGGTCGTCTATCGTTAGGGGGAGGCTGAAAGTTGTTGCGTGAACTTTTGCGTTTTTGTATGATCCATTTATCTTCAGTGTTCAGAGGTTCACAGGTATTCAAAGATTAACTAATCTCCCAATTTTTCTTTCGTTTTATGCTTTAGGACCAGGTTGAGATCTATGCTTCAATGAGAGGATGTATTTCGCGCGTTAATTCTGCACTGGCTGTATTCGCGATTCCAACACAGTTATGTGTCCTATCAGGAAAGACATTCGCTCAAGTATAGCTCTCTTCATCAAATTACTTTGTCACTTCGGATTCACAAGCATTTCCTCAGAAGACTTCCGTCTAGCGAAATACAATGATCCACTTGCCACACGACCTCTCCTGCGTTTATTATATGAGTTTTTATATTTCTATCAGCATGACTCTATTGACCACATTTGTCGCGAGGGATTTGACAAGTTTTCGCTGTTCGACATAGCAATTTATACTTCCAAGCGACTTCGGACTCTTGGATATCCTTCGCCTCATTCCAGCTCACATACTATCTTCTCAAGGGAACTTCTTCTGCAGATCGGATGGGTGTTTTGTCATTGCAATTTATTGCACAAAATGGAGAGTTTACTCTTCCGTCGTGCCTGTGAACCTGAGTTTGGGCGAACTTCTTTTGCAATTTCTCCAAACAATAATGTCTCACTTTCCGAACTCACTTGGTCACTTGGGCGCCTTCGTTTGCGGCTAAAGGAATTGTGTCTGGTACGAAGTGCTATCCTGAAGCGAAATGAGTTCAGCTTGGACAAGAACCGGTTTGCTTCACAATGCACTCCTATGGAATACCTTATGATTAACAGTCCTGGTATCATCGAGGACCGCGTCCGCTGTATGGAGGAAATTTCAGTGGGACTTAGTCTCCTTATTTCTTGGCAGTGCAGCAGTCGCACCTTCTGGCAATGGATGCATTCTGTGATGATTCTCCATCTTTCATCAGAAAATGACGCCATTCCGTCGATTGACGATAGCATTGTTCAGCGATTACATGAGAAACGAGACACTCTTGATGGTTGCCTACGGGAGTTTGCCTCTCTTCATGGTATGTCCTCTATGGTGCTGCTTGAGCCTAGACAATCAATGGATCATCTGCTATCTCAGGTTCACATAGATTTGGGGAATTTATCCACACAACTTGAATGTAAGGGCGCTATGCCGACGTCATTTTTGGCACCTTTGCACTGGACCTACAACTTGATCGCGGATTCCAAATACCTCGGAAAGACTAAAGATGAACCATCTCATTTGACCGACGAATGTAAAAAGCTTAATGCTATTCTTCAATCTGCCATGAATCGTAATCATAGTTTAAGGGATGAGATGCTGGAATACCTGAATAACTTTGCTGCGCAGAGCATACCTGACGTTTTGTTTTTGCACAGCTCGGTCGGTACCTTCGCGTCTCCTTGAAACCATTTGTACATCTTTGTCCTACTGTAAATGTCGTTTGTAACTTCGCTCAATCCATCACTTGTTTCACAATAACATATTTTTCAATCCCGCTCTCTTTTCTCGTTTTTTAGCCCAACTCCTAATGAGTTCTTACCTAACCCCCCAACTTAATGATTACCATTCACCTCGATTCTGCCTCTTAGGCGACTCCTAATTGTTCACCTTTATCTCCTCCAACTCAGATATGCATTTCAAATGACTTCCTCTCGTGCGCCTTCCGGGAACGCTTTGGATGCACAGCGATTAGCATTGGCTGTCTTTCTAGCTAGACGCGATGTGCTCCGCATGCTTTCCTCCTCAGCGGACGAGCAGCAGTTCTCTTCTCCTCGAGCTACTGGTTGTCGAGTAAGCTCTTTCTGATACTCTTTACTGGTATTTTGCTTTAAACAAGAAATTTGACGTTTTGCCGTCGTTTCCCTATTTAGTGCATGTTTTATCGCTTACGCCATCTTCATGGAGCGTTTCATCCCTTATTTGCACAAATCTTCCGGTGAGGTGTGGATGTTCATCTTAACGACGGCTGACACTGACTGAGCCAATTTTTCTATATTTCTGTATGCAGCGTGTATTTTAGCCAGTCTTAACCAACTATCTCGCGGCACTCTATTTTTCTCACTTTCCGGTTCTTAAATTCTTTGTGACATTTTATAACTAGCCGCGCCGGATAACTGACAGAACTACCTACTCCATGCGGTCTTCCCGGTTTGGTGGGCACGCTGCTGAACCCGCAGTCAAGTCATCTAACTTCCATTATCCGTGCCCCCCAGGCACATCCACGTCACCGCCCCGTGCTTTCTCCCCGCCTACCCACGACCCAGGGCCTAAACCTCCTCCTCGTCAAACGCGACCATTGCATGCCCCAACGGATAGACAGCTACAAAATTCGAAGGTACTTTTGCGGCATCTCTTCAAATTTTTGTGGCTTCTCATTTGTCTTCCATATGTCACTGCGAGTCGTTTATGGTAATCTGATAAATTTTGTCTACAATTACTCCGCCTCCTCCGTGATATGCATGCTTCCGTTTACGTTTCCCATCTAGGACTCACATTTACGTCAGTTGCGGTCTAAAATTGAACGATATACTTCAGCACTCGCAGCTCTGCGCATTCAGCAGGACGTCAAGAAGTGCTCTACCCCTGACATCAGCGAACCCTCTTGTCCTCCGCCTAATTTGAGGAGGAAGCCCCAAAATCTGTTTTCACCCCCAAAACGTTCCGCCAAACCAAATGGTCGTGTTACATCCGTACTACATCCTCGGGCGGTTCCATTGCGTATGAAAGCATCTGTCCTCCCACGGACGTCTTCTCGCAGTGTACCTCTTAGAGCTTCTACTTCCGTCACTGAATACCCAATCACTCCAAGCTCTAAACGCGCTGCCGATCACAGCCTTTACAAATCAGATCCGGACCTGGTGAATACTCTGTGGAATGAAGCTTTGACAGCGCTGCGCAACGCCCATACGGATGCTGTGGTTTTAAAGCCGGATTCATGCTCCAGTATTCAGGTAAGATTGAAGCAGTATGTGTATGAAACGTTGGTACTTTCTCGCGGCCGTTCTTACTTCCTCTTCTTCACCATACTGTTTGCATCTCCGGGTATCCTAGACTTTTATTGCACCTTCCACTGTGTGGATTTCAGCTGTTCACCTATGCTGGACCATTGCCGGCTCGATTTGATGTTAAAAATTTAGTTCGATTAATGGATTGGGACTCTGAAAAAATGCAATCGAGTTCGACGGGATTGTAGAAACTAAAGGTTGCGAAAGCACGAAGCGTTAACGGTCCGAATACTGAATACTGAAAATAAAGAGCAAGAAAATATACCTCTGTGTTACTCCATCGTAGTTAGATCGGACACGTGAGGGGAATTAGGCTACAGATTCCTGCGCGTTTGCGGCATAGTTAGCTGTGCCATGTCACATTCGGGTGCGGTGCGCTCTCAAATCTGTAATCCGCACAGTGGGCACCTAAGAATTACTTGCATTCCGACATCAATTTTACCTCGACTATTGTCTCGCTCAAACTGTTCCGATATCGCCGCTCAAATCATACGGGATTTGAGATCCGGCACTACGAGTTTGTAGCGGTGTCCGCGGGTGTTGCTTAGTGCGCACATGTACAGCAGCGGCCTCAACATGTGGAACTGACCCTGATGCAATATGAGATGCGTCGTAATGAGGTCAATTCCAAACCGACGATGCGACATTGTTTACAGCCCTAGTCTTCTGCACAGGTACTCGTACAACATACCTTGCAAATTTGTGTTGAGTCTGGTAGCAACATGCTGGACCTGCTCTAGTCTCTGCACCTCGCCATGAGTGACCAGACAATAGGCGGTTGAGCCGTACTCTAGCATTGGTATTATAATGGAAGAGAAGTGGCGAGTGACAGTCTCTTCAGACTAAGTACAAGAGCTGCGTTTGAGCACCCACAGTATGAGCAGTCGGTTTCCATATAGCTTGTTCGTATTGTCTACGGACTTCAAATCGCAGCGTGAGGGTACGCCTAAGTCCTTCATGGAAGACGTGGGACGCCACAGTTGTCTGTCGAGCATGTAAGTTCGACCAGGACTACCCTTCCTACAAGCTCATGAATATTGATTCATTTGGGTTAACCGGGAGGCGCACTTCTGCAGGTCGCTCGGGGCATCGTTTACCCTCAAAATCCTCAAGTTGTCTTCAAGCACGGCACTCGGCGACCGAAGAAATCGTTATTGTGGATTAGAGATAATGTAAGCCTTGTCAAACATCTTGCTGACATCGATGCAGATCACGTCAACAGACTTACCCTGATTTACTGCCTGTATTCATTCATGCCTCGTCACCAGCAAGTGGGTAATGTATGAGCGGTCTAGCAATAAACCGCGCGGTGCTGGCGCCAGATCTTTTGATTGGACCAGCTGTTAACAAGCACAAGACCACCGAATAATCTGAGGTACTTCCTTGAGACTGGTCAGGCGCAACATGGGTCCCAACACTGTGCCTTGGGGTATGCGACTAGTGGAAAGGCACCAGTCCGCTAGGTGACTACCCACTTTTACGCTTCATTATCCCTCCAAGTGTGATTGGGCCCTTCTACACTTGATGTGCTTATACCCACGTCTATGTTGAGTATATCTCTATTTATTTTTTCTATTTAGTGGAACCCCTTTAGACTTGCACGCTCTTAAAGTTTACGGTAGCTTGTTCTACACAACTGCATAGCGATTAAGGACTTTCCTTCGACTAGTAACGCATATTACTTATATTGTGTCTAAGGGAAGATTGAAGTATCATCTCGATGTCTGAACTAAAGACGCGTGGATCATATCAAACATGAAGCTGACGTTGCGTTTGAGTATCCTTAGCCAGAGACATTCTAGTTCCATCATCATTTATGAGATGATTCATCCAGTAAGTGCATTAGTCCCAGGGAGATGGAAAATAAATTAAATACTTTTCGTACTTCTTCCTATGGGACCGAGTTGGTCTGGAAATGGGAAAACACTTTTACCCACAGTACATCAACCTATGTTTGTCCGCGGATGCAAGTCTACACACGTTTTTATCTTCGTCAACCAACTCGTTGTCCTGGATTTCCAGGTCTGGGAGTGTAAATCCAAAAAGACTGACACTTGCTTCAACTTTCTCCCAGCACTGGAGTTGGTCCACTGCCATCCAATTAAAACCACTCAGTTCCTGAAATCGGTTCATTCCTTCCTGTAGATGATCGACGCAATTGTCGTAGAAACTGATGATAATATTCATCAAACTGTTTTGCTGACGAGACCTGCTGGTTCGAGTTGGCCAATTGGAACGTTTACCTCGCTTGGAACAAAACGGTTTCTGCTCTTGTCCCTGCAATTCTGCAGGAGTTCGGGCATTGCAGACGACACTTCTAGTGCTGAAATATTTTGTTCCTCAAGAGTACAGTAGCGTGGAGAATGACAGATGTTGTGTATAAAGAAGGGCTACAGCTCAGAGTAGTGATTTTCAAATAAATATTGTAGTAGTGTAGGACACTTGTCGAGACATAAATAGGATTTCAACACTGAAAAGACCTTCTGGATTATCTCCACTGCTGACATAAGTGAAAGCCATCTGGTTTTCCCTTATCCTAAAATGCATTGTTATTTCGCCATTGTAGTCACAGAATTTCTTAGTTCTTCAACGCGAAAAGTGTAAGTGTATAAGATATTTTTGCCACAACTGTTTTAACATCAATAAGCTGACAGTCACCTGGCGTTTGCAGTATGTTGTGGACAATGTAAGCCACGCAACCAAATCCCGCAAGTGTTTCTGTAATAGAAGATTTCAATTTCGCAAATGCCTTATTTTATTCTCTTCTCTGAACGCTACCGATCCGTGTGTTCGTGTCGTCAGCACAAAATCCCACAATTTTCAGCTCATAGTATTTTGTTCAAACACATTCTTCATAAATTGCCAAATGGTGTCCGACATGTCATCACTAAGTGGCTGCAGATCTAATAACTTGACCTTAATACCCAATGACGGCAAAAAACCTCACAAGGAGTGCGAACACCATTACTTCCTTGAGGCGTCTGTGAACATTGACACGAATTTTACTATCTTGTTTTCCTTGAAGTTTATCCGGCAAACAAGTACAGGGCATTTATTATTATTATTATTATTATTATTATTATTATTAATGCCACACATTCTGTGCGCACACATTCAAAGTTCCGCTCAAACAATTTCTCTACCAGCTTTTGATACAATTCCTGGAGTGGAAACCACGGTTATGAAATACAGAGTGATAAGAGAAGGCACCTGCGGATGCTAAATTGGCTTCTGTGTTTCTAAACGTTGTTCATCGCAAATAATTATTTCAGGGGCTTAAGTTGCTGCCGCAGACACCGCTGCCTTAGAGCTATCCGATTTTAAGTGCTTTCTGATAACTGATCTGCCCCACTGAGCCATAGAAAATCCCGATTTGCATTTGTCACACCGAACTTGCGAGTCGTTGTTGCGTTTTGCCTTCTTAATGAATGGAAGTCGCTCTCCAATTATGTAATCATCTTACACCTTCGTTTAGACACGGTTTTCCTACCAAGCTAGACAAGTTGCAGGCATTCTCCACTAAAGTTCCAAAAATCTCATCATCGCTTTTCTTCCTTCTTTGCATATTGTAGTAAAATGTTTCCTTGCCGCGTTGTCCACCCACGCAGTCGATTATCCCGCAAACTCATGCCGGCGCACTTATTTCGGTCTTATTGTAACAAGAATGGTGCGGCAATGAAGGACAAATTTCATTGGCGCCAGCACAAGCTAAATCAACACCCACGCGGCCGTACATTAATAAGTCACCTTTCCTTCCCACGACGCACCATCTCTCCGGGTTTCCGCTCGCGACACCTCCATGCACTTTGGGGGCCTCGTGACGGGGTATTCCCCGCCCATTACACCCCCGTATCTCCGCTTCTACGCGTCCCATTCTGACCGGCCCGGGTGTCGTTCGATAGCTCGTGATTTACGTGAACGTGGATGCAACACACAGTGCTTGGGGTTGGTCCGGGGTGTTACAATAACGGCGGTCTTGTAGTATTTATTGCTTTCTCGAACAACACCCTCTCCGTTCTGCCTGGTTCAGGCTCACTAACGGAAGTCACTCATGCCCCGTTCTCGTCTCGTTCCGTTAAGCCAGTGTTGCTCCGTTTGCTCTCCCTCATTGCGCCAGTTCCAGTTTCCGTCCGCCCCCATTTTAGTGGTCTTTTTGTCTTCCGGGCAATCACTGCCTTCTACCTCCCTACATTATGTTGTGTTCCGCACCGCCACTGTTTGGTTCTGGTTTTTTCACCTACATTCTACATGCTGAAAGCGGAACGTTCTGAGGTGTACGACCTCAAATCGGTACATTAGTACATCCCGCCCAGCATTTCTAAAAAAAACGGGACAGCAGCTTTAAATGCTGGACTGTTTCGCATGCATGTGCATATGATTTACTCGGATATTGTCGTGGGAAGTAGGCGGGAGTTACGGTCAACTCTCGAAGTTTTGATCGCTGATCCAGTGTACATCGCCAAAGCCAATGGTTATATGAACAGACTGGATGAGGTGTAGCTATCGAAGGTGAGGCAGGTTGATCTAACCGGACGGCAGGTCATGCATGCAAGCCTCGTACTGCGCAGCCACAGACCGGACGTACGTGCGGGGTCAGCAATGGTGAACTGCACTGTCACGGATTGTCTGTTTAAAGTGTGTTTTGTGCTGAGTTATCTGCGGGGAATTGGCTGATTATGACGCGTGGCAGTGAAAGCCGCAAGGAAGCTGTCTCGCCGATGCCGCCTTGTCTTTGCACGATAGCCAGCTGTTTGTGACGGTATGTTGTTAACACGAGGTGTAGGCGCCTTGACCCTGAATGTTTGCTTAGGGCATTAAGGTTTTCAGGTAAGTCCCCCTTCTCTCCCTCTTCTTATTCTTTATTTCATAGGTCCTCATGGTTGTATGGCAGCGAAGCATCAGTTCAAATAGCTGATGTACTGCTGTTGATGATGACTGTCACGGTG